CTTTCATTGAGGGCGTGTCTGTGTGCCAGACAAGTTTCGGAGAATTCCACTCCTCATCAGTGACTCTGGACACACCACCAATGAAAGAATAGACCATTCCAAGCTTTTACTTGTTGTTAAACAAATGTTTAAACAACTCTATTCAATCATTAATACTAATTATCTGGATTTTTTGTACAGTAGAACAGTGAAGATCAAAGCATTTTGCTGAACTTTCGCTTAAATAAATTAGAAAGTAAATCATAGTCTACTTTTTCGATTTAAATTCTAAACTTTTTTATAGTTCTACACCAAATAAAAATGGAAAGGCCTGCCATTCCATACTTGCAGGGTGACTTTAACCATGCCTGCCATTCCATACTTGCAGGGTGACTTTAACCATACCTGCCATTCCATACTTGCAGGGTGACTTTAACCATACCCATGATGGGATAAATTTATTATTATTTTTACACTTGTAACTGAGTCGTTGCCGTTTCGTTTCTTTTCTTAGAAACATAATCAACTTTAAAGAGATTTCCTTAAGAAATACAAACTTCCTGAGACTAGTAATATACACATTTATTTTTGACAGGCGAAGGTCTTTTTATCCTATTGACCAATCAGACAGCAGATCTCTCTGAAGCCTTCGATTTAGCCTCTAGGGGAAAACTTGCGAGTAGAAGCAGACCAACAGCTAGAGCCAATTCTGGTATTTCAATCAAATATTTCATGAAATCTGACAACTTTTGTGTCCATGACTTATTATTTTAGTGCGAGTCTTTCTACATTAGTAAACTGAATACACCATAGTACAAAGATAGAGGATGTGTGAATAATAGTCTAAATCAAGAGCTGATCTGTAAAATTATATGGAATTACTAGTCATAGTTCAGAGTTAATTAGTATTACTACACCATATATAACAGAAGTGACAAATTAAGATGAATTATAACATTCTATATTGTTTGAAGGGAACATTTCTTAATTATAAGGTAGTATCAGTGTTTTGTGAAATCTTACGTAACATTTGGACTTCTTTTTTTTTTTTTTTACTTTTAGAAACTTCGTTTAGAAGATCTTTACAACCCAAGTCAATGAGCAGACACTCTGAAAAGTACAGGAATGAATCCAATCAGCCTCTTCTCAGCTCGGGTTCTGATGGTAGTACTTCTGATGCTTGTTCCGAAAACATTCGATTCAGTTCTGATTCTCTAACGCGAAATGAAAATTATCCCACTAGTACAACGTGTAAAACCCATCATCGATGTCCATCGTTAACATCTCCGTTCACGGCATCATTTATATCCAAGGATAGCGACGTGGGGAGTGCACAAACAATTTCTTTAGCGTTAGGCTATTCCCGTGAACAAACACCACAAATTTTAAATCAAAGTCTGGAATCCAATGTGAACATGAATATTTTGGATATAGAAAGAGACTGGTAAGTTTAATTGAAAAAAAAGGTATTCTTAAGAAATTTTCTAAGAAAATCAATTGTAAAATGAGAAATCGGATTTATTTTTTTAATTTCAACAAAATAATTAACATGTCAGCGATATTATTTTAGTGTACGCTAGGAATAATGGCATGAATTATTTTTTTACTTAATAACATTTCAAAGTACATAAAAGCTGTTATTCTCCAAAAACTTTGGATTTTACATCAAATGTTTCAATTTTTTATGTTACTGCATAGGAACGCCAATCAATGTGATAAGTGTGGACGACAGTATTGTCCATCAAACAAACTGACATCTTCCTCTCTACAAACGCGACACGAGAATAGTGCTTTAGCTTCTCACTGGTGTCCCAATATAAAAGCAGGGTCCCCAAATAAAGAAATTACTTTCCAAGGGAATACTGTGATCGTGGGATGCGGTAAGAGACGGCCTTCCGACAGATCTTCGATGTCCTCCCAGAGTAGTCACAGCAGTAGTGCCAGTAGCAGTGGTTCTGAATACTCTTTACCAAAAAACTGTCTCGATAACGTATACGGAAAACTAAGAGGTACTCACGTGATAAAACAACCACCCAGTCTCCCAAAACTCCTCATAAGGAGAAGTGTTCCTATTCAAGAGGAAATTTCTGGTGTTGTAACTTCTAGTGCTCAGCAGCAAGGCAAGTGGGCTAATAATTTGCATACGAGTTCAATCATTGGAAGCTCAGAAAAATGTTGGTCCAATGACGTTATTCCTCGTGTGCACAAAAGAAGTGCCTCTTGTTCTTGTACCTATCGACCAATAGATGAACTGAACAAACCAAAAGATTCATCTAACAGCGTAGGAAAATTATTTGGATCAACACCTAAAATGGATATAACAGGCTCACCTAATGACAGCCCTGTTAGACAAAAAAGACGAAATGTGGGGATCTTGAGGTCACAAAAATCTACAGATAGCCCCTACGTTCATTACGCAGTACCTAAGCCTATTCTTCATGATGACAAAGACAAGGTAAATAATGCAGCAAATTGCTGTCGGCTGAATCATTGATGGATGTATTTTTCGTTTTATTTGTTTATTGAGAACAAAATACGAGTAAAAATTAAAGTCCACATTAAAAATAATCAAAACTATCGTCTTCGTTCCGTTTTTCAGGAGAACAATTGTAGAAATTATTCTTTGATATATTTTAAAAACGTCAGCTCTGTTTAGGACAAAAATCACGTTAAGAAATAATAACAAACTTCTAACTCAAATATTAAACCAGAACTGAATGTGGACTGTATGAAATTGTGATGAAATTTTGAACAGTAAATATTTTAAATAATATTAGAAAACAAACTCGGAAATTACTGAAAGTCGAGTTACGTATGTTGTTAATAAGCATCTAATGAAAAACAGTTCTAGCTAATATAAATGAATCTGCTCAAAACAGAGTTCCATGGGAAGATGAAGAAGTATAATAGGTTTAATAGATTTTTGTACGATAACAATTTAGATTTTGTTTTTAACTACCATTTCAGGAGAAACAACTGAGAAACCAGGCTTGGAGTTCACAGGTGCCTTTATTGACTACGCAACATTATGACGTTCCTCGTAAAATCAGAGTAAGTCATATAATACCAATAAAGTTCTTATAATTTTTATATCATCGACGTCGTTCCATCAATTTTACCTGTTTCATTTTGAGATGATTTTTTTGTAACTTGTGTAAATTAGGTTTGGTTTGGTTTGTTTTCAATTTCGCGCAAAGCTACACGAGGG